AAAATCACTCATCCTTAGTTCATTCTTCTACATTATTAAGACCCTGTCTCAGTCAAACCTAGACACCAAGGCGTGCACTGCTCCAGTCCCAGAACCCTGATGATGAGCAGTGAGGTAACAAAGAAAGGACAAATATACAAATGTGGGAACAGGAAAGCTGGGAACAGATGGGGGTGTGTTCACTGGATGGAAGCCACCCCTGGCCATCCAGAACCTCTGTATGCTTATTAGGTACAGCACCTGAGTTTGATCCTCAGGCCCACATGGTAGAAAGAGAGAACTTTATTCTCTCTTCGGGAAAGGAGGGCTCCCCTAAGAAGTCTCTATAGGTGAACATCACTTGGGTAAGGCTTGTCCATTCCCATGGGACAGAGGTATTGGAGTCCTTGGCATTGCTGTGCCCATGTCAACAATAAACAACCACTCAGGGATTCCCCTGCTTCCTACACTCAGAGCTTACCAAAGCAGCTAGTCTTGGAATCCCATCTCTACTTGCTCAAGGGAGAAAGAGTTTATTTTGGCTTACAGTTCCAGAGAGATACAGTCTACAGTGGTGGGGGAAGTATGGCAACAAGATGACTGGAGTGGGAACAGGAACATTTTCATCTTCGTATAGGAAGCAAAGTAGGAGAACAGGAAGTAAGGGAGAGTATAAATCCCTCAAATCCTTCTTTCAGGTAGGTACTTCCTCTAGCAAAGCTACGCCTCCTAACCATAACTTCCTCAAATAGTGCCACCTACTGGGGACTAGGTGTTTAAATACATGAGCCTATGGCAGTGATATTTCTCAAACCAATGCAACCAGTGACTGTGGTGTTTAGATTCATGTGTCCAAATGAAGCTTGGGATGCTTAGAGCTTTGAAGGTCCAAGCCGTGTGTGAATCAAGCTAGCTGTTTAGAATCCGCATTAAGGTGACTTGTACATTCTCGGTTGGTTGTTTAGGAAAAGAGGGTGATTTTGTAATAGGGGCAGGTCAGGAGCCCTAGGATAAAGACCTATTGTTGCTGTTTTGTTTGATGGACTGGAGAGAAGACAGCTATAGACCATCAAACTACTTACTGTGTGCACACCGCTGCTAAGGCACCCTGGATAAGAGCATTTTCTGTTTGTTTTTTGGGTAAAGGGCTTTACTCTGTAGCCCACAATGGTCTCAAATTCACACCAGTCCTTTTCCCACAGCCATTTTAGTGCTGGGATTACCAGTTTTTGCCACCATGCCTAGTAAGAGGTTTTGTTGAGAAACATTTTTTTTCTTCTATAATTAATTCCTCATCAGATCTTAACCTGTAGGTAGTGACCCATTTGGTTGAATGGCACTTTCATAGGGTCACCCAAGACCATGAGAAACACGGTTCTTTACATTACAATTCTGAACAGTATCAAAATTACAGTTCTGACAGGAGGAACATTATCAAGGGGTCGAAACATTAAGAAGGCACTGATCTATAGACTTAGTTGGGGACATTACATCCTGTTATCAAAGGTGACCTTTAGATGTATCTACTCTGTGTTTTGGTGCCATGAAGATGTTTTTAATGATGTTGAGCACCTGATTTCCCTTCTGTTTGTAGTTCTCTTTTAGTTGGCTTATCATAGTGTTAACAGTTAGATTCTCAGATCAGTGGGAGATTGTGTTAAAAAAACAAACCCTGTCCATCCAGATGGCTTAGAGGATGAAGGCTTGCTGCCAAGCCTGATGACCTGAGTTTGATCCTCAGGCCCACATGGTAGAAAGAGAGAACTTTATTCTCTCTTCGGGAAAGGAGGGCTCCCCTAAGTTGTCCTCTCACCTCCATGTGTGCACAGTGGCATACATGTGTGAGCACATGTGCCTACCCGCTCTATTCCTCTCCCCCAGACATGCACACAAAACAAATAGTGTGAGCAATGCTGAGACCCCAAGGTGAGCTTGCTCTTTGTGTTGTCTCAGCATTCCTAACGAGCCCTGTGTGGGGTGGCAACGAGACTCACTTCCAGATGGAGAATCTGGAAACATGGTTCCTGGTGGTACCATGGCTGAGAGCATATGTTCATGCCTGGTTCGTCCTGGCTGAGACACAGTTGCAGTCTCCTGGTTTCTGTTCATCTCCAGTGACCTGGACTTTGACACCAGTACTTGGGACTCTCCCTCTGGCTAGAAGTAAACACAAGAATAGTAGGAAAGGAGCGCTTTCCCAAGTCATGGGATGCCTGTCTGTCTGCCTTCTGTGAGGGGTCCAAGTTCCCGGAATAGCAATGTGCTGTCTCTGCATTGATTTCTGCAGATGAGCCAGTTCTGAGATAGGAAAAAGCTGGACCATCCACAAGCGTAAAGTGTTGAGAGTTACTGGAAGCTATTATCAAATAGCTTGTCTTCTTAAATGATGGATGGATCTCTTGTGCTTTTATATTGTGAGCATGACTTGCACAGACTTCTCTATTTTTAATTTTTGCTTTTTTACAGGCTAAACATATTTCTGGCTGGCATGAATCCTTTCTACTTCCATGCGGTGAATGTCATTCTACACTGCCTGGTGACCCTCGTGCTGATGTATACCTGTGATAAAACAGTCTTCAAGAATCGCGGACTGGCTTTTGTCACAGCCCTGCTCTTTGCGGTGCACCCGGTTCACACCGAGGCGGTGAGTATAGTGGACACTGTGAAATAATGGCACCTAACAGCCTAACGTCTATCTGCATATATCAGCTAAACCAACCCTCCCCCTTTCAAAACCTGTGAATTGAAAGGCCCACACCACCATCAGCCTCACCTCTGTGCCCCAGTGCTGCTTTGATAATGTTCACATGGGCTCTGCCCAGGATTCAATTGCATCTTTGCACAGGGGCTGTGGTTATTATAAGGGTAAAGGAGACTCCAAATTTTTTATTTGCAAAAATAAATTTAAATCCCATGTGCTTTCAGCCAGCAGGGGACATTGTGAGACCCCCCACACACACACCTTGATGTCACCATCCCTGCTCTGCTTCATGCCTGTGTTTACATTATGAAGCTGCAGGTGCTGGGGGAAGGACCAAGAAAGCTAGACTGATGACATTCTGCCAGTTACAAAGATGGACTTGGGTAATTTAGAAATTGCTTTCTGAGTTACTGAATGAGAAGTTCAATGATTTTGTGTGAGGAAGACTCTGTTCAGAAACTATTGCTAGTTTGGATCTGTGGCCCTTTAAAAAAGGTTTGGTCTATCTTGCACCTGACGGGATAGTGTCATGAAACCACTGTGTCATATAACGGTGCCTGATTCCTTTTATATGTGTTGCTACAGGGAGGTGAAAGCTTTCTGACAGGGCCACAAACACCAAGATTTTCAGGGAATGGGTGATGGTTCCCAAAGAGAGAATGGCTTGCTAAGCCTCTGCTGGCACCTGGACACTTTCTTGAAAATCTACCCAAGAGCACACTTTTGGTAAAGACACAACATTGATCTGTTTTGGAGTTTGTTCTCTCTCATTTGGATGAGGCATGCTCATGCATTGTGACCTGATTGTGTCCCTGTAATCCACACCTCTGAGACCCCTGCAAAAGGACAGTTTGACGTGTTGGTGTTGCGATGCCTCTGTCAATTAAGGCATCATAGTTCTAGAGAAGGCTTCCTGGCCTGTGTTCTATTTCCATGAAGAATACAACTTGGCAGTAGAAATACTGGGTGGTACTCTGTGTTAAAGTTCTGAGTCAGAAGTGAAATAGTGTCCAGAGGGATTCATAGAATGTTTATTTGAACTGGCATGGGAATTCTGATTCAGTTAACTGATATCACAGTGAGTCTTGTCAATTTGGTCTGTGATGGCTGTGTTTCTGTGAACAGAATTCCCCATCTCTGAGCCTGATGTTTGACATATATGTGTGGTCTCTCATGTATATCATTCACAGGGGGTGTGTGTAAATATATGTGTATGTGTATTAGTATATATGCATGGGCATCTGATGTACACACACATCCATATATAATTATATATGGGGAAAGTGACAGATAAAATATACCTTATAAACTATTACATCATTTGGATAGTTTTCCTAACTCTTTCTGAGTATGTTAGACTGGGCAAAGTTCCTGTAAGTGGAAGAGTTTGACGTGTAAGTGACAGTCCTCCAGTGTGTCTTGGTAAAGCTGATTACTATACTTCTGTAAAATAGTTACAGTGAGAGGAGACTCTGAAGGGCAGGTTGCTATCACGACTGTCCAAATTAAAGTCAAACCCGGCTGATTAGTCAGATTATGGATCACAAAACTTCACATGAAATGGTAGATTCCCTACGTGGTAGTTGCCTCTGACTTTGGAGTTAGAAGCGCTAAGCCATACCTGTAACACGAATCCTTACGTTCCTATGCACGGGAACAGTCTAAAGGGTAGAGGCCAGACTTAGAATTGTGCGGCACACTATCTTACTCTTCTAAGAGAAGGTGGACCAGACACAGCACTTAATGACACGCACACCTTCATGTGTAGTGCTTAACATTTTCCTGCTTTCATCATGATGTGAATTATAACCAGAACACTAATACATAATTAAAATTATAATATGTAGAGATTTATGGTTGCCCCGGGAAATTTAAAAAGTAATTAAGGGCCATAGATACAGCTCTGTGGTAGAGTGATCGCCCAGTGTGTGTGAGGCCCTGAGTTCCATGTCTTGCAGCACACACACACCAAAAGAATCCATATGTTTTTTCATTATCGTGAGGTAATGTGATAAGTAAAGTTCATTTTAACATTAGTATGCATTAAATAAAATACATTTAATGTTAGTATGCAATGCATCAAGAGAAAATGCTGAAGGGGAGTAGCTCTGAAGAAAATCACAGGAAGAGAGCACTCCAGAGGTCTCCATGGAAAGGGGAAATCTCCCTAGCA